GGACTTGTCCCCATGTCCCCAGCACACAGGAAGTTCTCAGGGGCTGAGCAGATGGGACAGGTCATCGGGCCCCAGTTTGGGTGTTCCCCATGAGCACAGGAAGTCAATGGGAGGCGTGTTCTGATCTGGAGGAGGGCTGTGCAGAGGAGCACCAGGGGCGAAGCTGCAGGGGGAGACCAGGGAGGGGCCCACCATGGTGCAGGGGACTCGGGAGGGGTAGCCTGGCGGACATGGGGGACCATCAGCGCCTGCCCAATCCCGCCTTCGGTCCTGAAGGCCGCGAAGGCCCAGGGGGCTGAGGAGTAGCAGATTCCACATGCAGGGTCCATGTGGTTCTTCTGGAATAACAGAGTAATTTCTTAAAACTGTATTCTCAAGTTTGTCTAAGCCACCTTGCCACGCGTCAGGCAGCTATGTGGTAGGCAGTGACAGAGCTGAGCGAGAGGCCCAATTACTGGCCCGTGGGACCCCAGTCTAGGTGGGCTGTCACAACCGCAGAGGCTGCAATTGTCACAGTGGGGGGGGGGGACTGGGTCACATGCCCTTGGGCTTTGCCAGCTGAGCTCTTGAGACACCTGAGGACAAGGGCTAGATGCAGACACCCTGGTGACATTGACCTCAGGCCTCAGAGGCTGCAGGGGTGGGGGTTATCTGGCCCAGGCTGGGGCAGTGATAGCAGCAGGAGGAGCTGGGGTCTCTTTGGGCACACTCGCCTTGGCCTTGGGTCTTGGGCCTGTGACTTCCTCACTGCCACCAGCCACAGAAGTGACCTTTTAGGCTGGGACCCAGAGCTTGGGCTGGGGATGGGCAGTCTGGCCCGCAGCCTGGGGTGGTAGAGGGTGGAAACCTGCTCCAGAAGCTGGGGCTGGCGGGAGGGGGGAGGTGACATCCTATACCTGGGAGGGGTCCTGTGGGAGGCTCTGGTGGCTCTGACCCGAGGCTCGGGCTAGGACGTCAGTGTGTCCCTAGAGCCCCGCCCAGCCTCCACCCTGCTCGTAGGTAGCCGTGCCGGGAGGACTTGGGCTCCCCCCCACCCCGGGTGAGTCATGTAGCCCAGCCCCTTTCTGGCGGCCGGAGCCCTAGGCTTGCGTGATTGGGCGGCAGCGCAGTGAGGGGACCGACCTCGGGCTGGGGGCGGGGCCGAGGGGACTAAGACAGGTAATGGCCGGCGGCGCGCCCGGCGGTGCCAGACTCCAGGTGAGCGCTCCGCGGGGACGGTTCCCTCGCCCACGTGGCCGCCGCCGCCGCCGTTGCTCCCGGAGGCCCCGGGTGAGGCTCGCGCGGTGCCCACGAGTTCCCCTCCGAGTGTGCGGCGGGGAGGGGGAGGCGCCCAGGAGCTGCCGCCGCCCCGGGTCGTTCCCCGGGGAGTCTGGCGGCGCCGGCGCCGCGGGAGGGGCGCGCAGGACGGTCCTCACCGGCGGGGGGCTGGACTCCGACGGGACCGCGACCCCACCCCGGCAGATACCGGCTCCGCGCTTGTTTGGAAAACGGAGGCGGAGGTGCGGGCTGCCGGCTGTTTTGTCTCCTGATTTGTTTAACGCTCCTGGCTAATTGCAGATTTGCATTTTCGTCGCGGGAGCGGAGGCCCGGCGGGGGAGGGGCGGCTCCCACCTCGTGTCTCTTTGGCAGCCTCTCACCCTCCGGTGCCCCTTTTCCTGTACCGGTGGGGGCCCACCCACCCGCTCTGTCAGGTATTAGCTCCCTCACCTCCTCAACTGGGGGGTCCCTCGTGCCCGCCACACAGGGCTAGGACCCTCCAGACACACACCGTCTGGCGTAGGAGGGGGCTGTAGCTGTCCCCATCTGGACCTGTTCCTACCTAGCTGAGCCTTCGCCTGTCTGCTGGTGCCTGAGTCCCCCCATCTTGGTCTCTGGGCCCCTCTTCTGCGCACCCCCGTCCTGTCCCAGCCACGTCTGGGTTCCCTTCTTGAGTCCATAGGCTGACTGGCCTGGCCAAGGGCAGCCCCCTGGCTAGACCCCTTCTCCACTGGGCCTGCCTGGTTTCCATTGTTTGGGTTTTAGTGTTAGGAAATTGCTCAATCTGTGGTTGCTTGAAAATAGTTACATGGAAAGAACCCCAGCTCTAGCCCACACCGCAGAGCCCACCTCCAGGTGGGGCAGGGGCCTGAGGAAGGGGACACTGACAGCCCTCAGCCCTGGGGGCCTGGGGCCTGGGGCTGAGGCTGAGCCAGGATTCTGCGCTTCCTCCTCAGGCTCCTCCTGTTTACCTTTTCCTGTTGCGGGTGGGGCAGAACCCTCCCGTGCAAGCGGCCTGGCAGCTACTGATTAGAGGAAGATGGAACCTGAAGAGGTGCCACAGGGGACCCAGCTGGCAAGGGACACTACTGCTTCCCACCCAGTCTGGGGGGTGGAGGACAGACCTGGACTTTTGGGGCAGTCCTCTGTCCCTCATCAGTGCTCTGACTGGGGGGGTAGGGAGGGGACACCACTGTGTGTGAGGTTTGAGGACCAGCTGCAGGGGACATGTGTGCTCTCTGCTCCCTCCAGTATGTGTCACCCACTTCCTGACTCACTGGGCTCAGACCCACAGGTGCCCCACCTGGTCAGATCCTGTGTTTAGACCTTGTTCATGGGGAGCCCATCAGAGAAGACCGTAGACCACAGAGGATAAGTGATAGTCGTGCACGGCTGGGTCAGGGTGGTTGTCTCGGGGCTCCAGAGGATGGGTAGGAGTTTTCTAGGAGAAACAGCAATGCAGAGACATGCTGACCTTATGAGTACCTCCTCCACTGCAGGCACAGCCGTAAGGATTTCCACACATGGGCTCGCATTGCATAGCCGCCCACGGAGATCCGCGCTCTTACTACCCCCGTGTGACGCACGGAGAAACTGAGGCACAGTGTGGCTTTGTAAACAGCCCACATCGCCCAGGTAGAAAGTGACAGAGCTGGGGTTCGAACCCAGTAATCTGGCGCCAGAGTTCTGCTCTTTGAGGCCCCTCCGTTCAGCTGCGTGGCTGTGGGGTGGGGACAGCTGTGGCCTCAGGCCAGTGGGCCCTCCTGAGAGTGGGAGATACAGGCCGGCTATTGGGGCAGGATGGACAAGGTGGGAGAAGCTGGGGGCCAGGACTGCGTGGCTAAGAGCAGAGGCTCCTTTGAGTTAGGAAAGGCCCTAGGACCGGGTGGCTGAGGAGGGGACAGTCCAGGTTTCGTTCTGCTGGAAATGTTTGCTGGAGGAGCCTGGTGTTGGGAGAATTCCGAGGGCTGACTCTTGGGAGGGTCTAAGAAGTGGGCCCAGCCTGGTCAGTGGGTCACTTGGGTCAGGTCCCTGGTAGGGGTGGCTGTGGGGGGTGGTGATGTGTGGGCTCAGGAAGATGTCTCTTGGAAGAGGCCAGCCCCCTTGGCCTTGCCTGAAGCAGGCACACTCACCACCAGGGGCCTGGGCCAGTGGAAGGCAGGGGCTGGGGACCCGGGGGCATGCCATGGGGAGTTGAGGGGCTGCGGGCACCATGCTGACCACGGGCACACAGAGACTGCATGATGTTCCTTTGAGGTGGCAGGTCTGTATGCTCTGCCATTTGGGTGCTTGGCCCCTGACTGCCTCCATTCACAAAGGCTGCCTTGAGTGCCCAGGGCAAAAGGACACCCCTCACCCGCACTCCCAGGGCTCCAGGTTAACCCTTTCCTGCCCATCCAGGAGCAGAGGACGCCAGAGGGAAGTGCCTGTGTGCACAAGGCCCCTGTCTCCCTTGGGCCCCCCATAGGTCCATTCCCTGGGTCCTGCTCTCCAGGAATATGGGGGTGGGGGTGAGCAAGTTGGGGAGTGTGCTGCCTTGGGGGCGTGGGACAGAGCCTGACCCTGGTGGCAGAGATGCCTGGGCTGGGCTGGGATAGGCCAGGAGAGGTTGGGGAGAGTCACTGAGGGCCTGGGAAGCTATATTCTGAGGACGAGTGGAGCTGGAGCGGCTGGGATGGGGGCCACAATCGTTATTATGTATATATACCTCTTTTTAGTTAGTTAAGTAACACTTGAATATGTTTGTATAAAATTGTTCAAAAAGCGACAGATGAAGTTACTTTGTCGTCCTAGCCCCCAGATTTCACCACTATTTTCAATTTGGATGAAGGTTTCTTTCTAGAACTTCTTAGCAGCTAAACCCTGTGTGTCCACATGGACACCCATGGATACCTGGAATCCTGGGCCACACGGACCACCCATCTGCATTGGTTCCGTGGTTTTTCAGGGTCCTCTGGTTGGATGCTGGGTGGTTGCCAGGTTTTCACTATAATAAACCATGCTGAGAAGTACAGTTCCTGGGATAGGTCCTCCCTTTGGGTACACTTGGGTGTTTATCCAGGAGAGGATACAATAGCAAACACTGCAGAAGGCTACAGTGTAACAAGCTCTCCTGAGGCTTTCATGAATGAATCATTCAGCCCTTAACAAACCCCTGGAGGCGCTCACTATGACTGTCTCCATTTCACAGATGGAGAAATGAGGCACAGAGAAGTTAAATAACTTGCCCAAGGTCACACAGCCAGTAAGTGGAATTGCGGGGGTCATAGGTATGCACATTTTTTTACAGCAATTTTTGTTTTAATCATAGTCATATATGTACCTAATTTAGAAAGGCAGACGGTACCAGTAGACTTAAAATAAGGAGAAATGGTTCCTTCCCCTTTTTTCTTCTGCCTATTTTGAGCAGAGGAGAGAGCGAGAGAGAGGCATGTCCGGCTTGTATTCTGGAAAGACCGAGTGGGTGTATATGCACTCCAATGGGGTGCTGGGCTAGGGGCATGGAGGAGATTGGGGGTCTCCTGCTCCAGGATGGTAGAGGCCAAATGGGGTCCCAGGGGCTGCTTCCTGCCCCCCAGACATGGAGCAGAGGAGATAGCTGGAAGCAGGCCAAGCTTGAAGTAAGACCACTGTCTGTCCTTTGCTTCCTAGAGAATTTTGATGCCAGCCGGGCACAGAGACTGAGCTGGACTACCAGAACCTCGGTGAGTGGGGGCTGGGCCCCACCTGGGGAAGGCAGTACGGGGCTACATCCATACAGTGTGGCTGGAGGTGCCGCCCACTGACTGCTGAGTCCTGCCAGGGCCAGCGTGTCCACATCTGCTCAAAGCCAAGCGCCTTGCACATGAGGGCTGCTGCCAGGCCCCCAGTTCTCCGAGGTCAGGCTTTTGTTGGCTTTTGTTGGGAGCGGGGGCCCTACAGTGAGCCTGGGGCAAAGTTTGGAGCACTGGGTTCTGAAACATTCCGGCTGGGAATCTGTGCGACTTCTTGGAAGTGCACCTCTGGACGTCAGCCAGGAAGAAGGCCGTCCGGTGCCCCTGAGGAAATCCCCACTGCTCGGTAAGCAGGGGTCCCAGGCCTGCGTTCAAAACAGGAAGTGCCCATTCCAGGAACACCAGAGGCAGGAAGGTTTGCTGGCTGTGCCTGCCAATCGCACACAGCCAGCAGCCTCAGCTCTGCCCCTGGTCCGGTGGGTCACCCTTTGCTCCTTGGCCTGGCCAAACAGGTCACCTGAGGCTTTGTTTGTTCAGGAAGTGGAGGGGAGCTGCTGCCTGTGGATGTGACTCAAGTCCCTCCTGCCAGCCTGGAGAGCCTGGGCTTAGCATGGGGCACTGAGCTTCACTCTGTTCCCCTGCCCACCACCCAGAGGAGCCTCGGGGCAGGGAGCAGCTTGGTGTCGAGGCCAGCTCCTTGACCACACACGTGGTATTCATTGAGCACTCATGGCGTACCAGCCCTGCGGGCGCCTGGGGCAGAGGACAGGGCTGGGCTTTTGCCCTAGGGGACTCGGTCAAGTGGACCGTTAACCAGAGGAAGCCCAGAACATTCTTTTCATGCACAGTGACCACAAAGCTGTGAGCTAGCTGGTTGAGAGAGCGCCCAGGGTCAGAGCTGAGCTTTTTCTGAAGGGAGTATCCCAAGTGTCCCCGCACTTGGGCAGCTCTGGGTTCAAATCCAGGCCTCGCGCTTCAGACCAGCCGAGGGGCCTGGGCACAGAGTCCACCTGGGTGGATGGGGGCTGCTCTCGGGTGGCCTGGGTTTCTGGCGGCTCTGGCTCCGCCTCATCCCTGCCCTGCCCCGCCCCCGAGCTCCCTCCCGGCCAGGGAACATTCCATTCATTCCGGGCTCTGGCCTGGGAGCCGCACAGCCACAGCCCAGAGGCGTGACCGAGTGAGCTGGGCAGATGGGGAGGGCCAGCCCGGGCCTGAGGCCGAGAGGCGGGAACACGCCTTCCCCCTCTCCCTGTTGCGTTGGCGTCGCGTGTGGACTTTGGGCCCAGGCTAGCGCGCAGAGGCAGAGCGAGAGCAGGAGGCAGGGCTGCGGGACCCGCCCCCAGACAGGCGGTGCCCGGAGCGCCTAGAGCTGGGCCCAGGCCCTTTGCTTACCTTACCGAGAAGGCCCAAAGACCTGACTACCAGCTGGTGCCCCAGCATCCTGGGCCGCTCCCGCGCGCCAGGCTCTGCACAGTGTCTGAATGTCGTGGGCACCCCAGCTCCACGGCTGGGGCTCTCCCCAACTGCAGAGCCCTCTCCCCTAGACAAGCAACCAAGCCCAGAGAGGAGTCTGCGTTGGTAGGGACCCCCACCCCGGAGGACTGCCCATCCTGCCCCACAGTCCTGAGAGGCTTGTGAAATCTTCCTGGCTCCGACCAAGCCGCCATCTTCTCCCCAAGCTGGTGACTCATCTTGGTGAGGCCTGGGGTCACCTCTCTTGGGCCCCCTGCACCTCCCGCTGGCACTGCCCAGCCTTCTGCCCTCAGGCAACGAAGGGCTCCTTCTCGGGTCCCTGCTGCCCCCTCTCCTGGACACCCTCCATCTAGCCTCTCCCAGTGAGAGGTAAGAACTGAGCACCCCAGCGCAGGTTGGGGATTCTATGCAGAGGCAGGAGCTGCCCAGGTGAAGGGGCTTCCCAGAAGCCCACGCAAAGAAGGATGCTGGCTTGGCTTGAGAATCACAGGGTCCCTGAGAAAAAGCCAGCACATTCCAACACACACAGCTTTGCCCAAAGCCAGGGCCCCAGAGAGAGCAGAGTAGACCCCCTTCTGCTGTCCTGGAGGACAGGGATGCAGGGCAGGGTTCAGCAAAGGGGAAGAGAAAAGGAACTGTTTCTCAAGGGAATGAGTGAATCCAGGGAGGAGATGCCTGAGGTCGCCGCAGAGGGTGTACCAGCTGGTCTAGAGGTGGAGGGTGGGCCGTGCTGGGAGTCTGGGGCACCAGGATCCGGGCCCTTCACTACCCTCTCTGCCATCCATCAGATCTAGCCCTACTCGGGCACGTGGCATGGGTGGGGCTGCCCTGGATGTCAGGCCAGGCACAGGCATTTTCGGGGAGAATTATAGCCAGTCCAGAGACGGCTCACGCATGTATCGGGAGAGGGAAGCCTGTAGGGGTGGCAGTGGAGGCTGCTGGGGGCGGTTCTGACCAGGACAGAGTGGGGTCCTGAGAGTGGGGGTATGAGGCTACCCCAAGGTGGCAGAGGCCGAGAGGCAAAATGGCCCTGCCTGAATTGGGAAGAGAGAACCATGTATGTTCTGGGTCCACTTGTTGGGCCTTGGGTCCCTCCTCCAATTTGGGGGTCCTCAGCCCGGGCTCAGCCTCAGCAGCTGATCCCTCATACACATGGACACGTGTGTGAACCTGCAGGTGGCACCCCCAGACCAGCCTCCAGGGCCCCCCTCTCAGACCTGGTAGATTCGGGCTGCTCACTGTGGATCCTTGCCGGCTCATCTGCTGGTTCACCAGGGGAAGGGGCCAGGGAGGCTCGGGAGGTGGGTTGGAGGCTGGCTGGCTGCAGTCTGAGTGGCTCCGGTGGGCAGGCAGGAAGTCCATGCCCTCTCTGGTCCACACTGCCTGCCCCAGCTCTCTTTCAGCTGCAGCCATGGTCTCCTGTGTGTTTCCCTTCAGGTTGCACTGTGTGCTGAGAGCCAGGTGTAGGAAGGTGTGCAGGCCACCTGTTTGCATGTCCACGGCCTGTTGGTCAGCCTGGGCCTGTGATGGGGCTCGTGCTCTGGGAACAGTGCCTCTCAGGTCACCTGGAGCTCTCAGGGTCGTGGGATGTGGGGTGGGCACATGCGTGAGTGGGGGAGCCGCTCTGGAGGTGGAGGCCAGGCACACATGCCTGTAGCATGCAGCCATGGTGGCCTGGCCCTGGTCATAGGTTCGACTACAGGGTCAACTTCCTGAGAAGCTGGGAAATCGTCTCCTTGGAGATGAGAGCGGGTGCTCTGGCCACACACATGGAAAGGCAGGGGAGGGACTGGGCACGGTGAGGACACGCTGGGCGGCCACGACCCGCCCCTGTCTGTGTTCTGGTCATTTGGGCAGGGTCTGGAGTGAGGGCTCTGGAGAGACCGCTGAAGGGGAGCTTCCTGTATGTGGGCTGGTCCTCCAGGCTGGGGCTCCCCTGAGCCTTCTATCTTCCCACAGGGTGCCGAGGGTGATGGCACTGCAGCTCTGGGCCCTGACCCTCCTGGGCCTGGTGGGCACAGGTGTGGGCCTGCGGCCCCGACAGCTGGACGTCTTCCGCAGTGAGACGGAGCTGAACCACCTGGTGGTGGATAGCACGTCAGGCGTGGTGTACCTGGGGGCAGTGAACGCGCTCTACCAGCTGAGCGCCGACCTGCAGCTGCAGCAGCAGGTGGCCACGGGCCCGGCCCTGGACAACAAGAAGTGTACCCCACCCATCGAGGCCAGTCAGTGCCACGAGGCCGTGCTGACCGACAATGTCAACCAGCTGCTGCTGCTCGACCCGCCGGGGAACCGCCTCGTTGAGTGTGGCAGCCTCTTCAAGGGCATCTGCGCCCTGCGCGCCCTGAGCAACATCTCCACGCGCCTCTTCTATGAGGATGGCAGCGGCGAGAAGTCCTTCGTGGCCAGCAATGACGAGAGCGTGGCCACGGTGGGGCTGGTGAGCGCCATCGGCCCCCACGGCAAGCGCATGCTGTTCGTGGGCAAGGGCAATGGGCCGCACGACAACGGTATCATTGTCAGCACCCGCCTGCTGGACCGGGCTGACGGTAGGGAGGCCTTCGAGGCCTACACAGACCACGCCACCTACAAGGCCGGCTACCTGTCCACCAGCACACAGCAGTTTGTGGCTGCCTTTGAGGACGGCCAGTACGTCTTCTTCCTGTTCAACCAGCAGGACAAGCACCCGCCACAGAACCGCACGCTGCTGGCGCGCATGTGCAAGCAGGACGGCTTCTACTACTCCTACCTGGAGATGGACCTGCACTGCCTCGACCCTGGCGACACCTCGGCCCCTGCCTTCAGCACTTGCCTTGCAGCCTCCGTGGCCACGGCCAGCAGCGGCCAGGGGGTGCTATATACCGTCTTCAGCAGGGATGACCGGAGAGGCGGAGGCCCTCGCGCAGGGCTCTGCCTGTTCCCGCTGGCCTTGGTCAACGAAAAGATGCAGGCCAACCGCGATGCTTGCTACACGAGCCCCCGGGACGACGGCCGGGGCACCTTCTACAAGCCCTTCCACGGCGAGATCCAGTGCGGCGGCCACACGCTGGTATGTGGCCTTCACAGGGTCCCTGGGCTTGGACCCCACGCGCGTGCCTGGCTGTGCGCGCCGCGGCTGCCCGCTGGCCTGTCCCGGTTCTTGCCTGCTTGTGAGGGCGTGTGCGCGTTTGCGTGTGTGGTGTCCGTGGTTGGGTCGGTGTGAGCATCTGCGCACACGTGGGTGCCACCTCATTCACGCCCTCGTGCCAGGCCCTGGCATCCAGCCGTGAGCAGGTGACTGCCTGCGTAGCCCTTGTTTTGGGGGATGCGTGTGGGGCCACAGCATCCTGTGCCCTCGTTGGGAGAGGCCTCCATAGCAGGCTGTGAACGTGCCCACTGTTGACACCGTGGTCCGCAGGGTGCCAGCGAGAGCTTCCCGTGTGGCTCGGAGCACCTGCCCTACCCGCTGGGCAGCCGAGACGGGCTCACAGCCAGGGCTGTGCTGCATCGCGGGGGCCTGAACTTGACTGCCGTGACGGTGACCACCGAGAACGGCCACACCATCACCTTCTTGGGCACCTCGGATGGCCAGGTCCTCAAGGTAAGGCTGGGGCTGGGGCTTCAGGGGCCCTTTCCTGGAGGGACCGTGTGCATGAACACCATCCCCAGCCTGCACACCTCACACGCTCGCCCTGCGCCCACAGGTATACCTCGCCCCAGATGGCAGCTCCGTGCAGTACAGCTCTGTCCCTGTGGACATCAACAAGAGGATAAAGCAGGACCTGGTGCTGTCTTCAGACTTGGCCACTCTGTACGCCATGACGCAAGACAAGGTAGGCCTGGGTTGGCCCTGCAGGGGGGGGCCTTGTGACCAGGCCATTGTCACAGGCCTAGAGGGGCAGAGGAGGACCGCGAGGGACTGACCCTCTTCTTGGGCTCCTGGCAGCATCTCCATCCGTCTCTGCAGCTGTGGTCCTGCCTTAGACCCGTCCTGATGGGAGGAATGGGTCTGTGCTCTGAGTGGGCCTCTCCCAAGGGTGGGGAGGGCAGCAAGGGGCCGTGTGCAGCCTTTGAGCATGGCTGGGGCACAGGCCAGGTCCCCAGCTGATGGGGGCTGCTGTGAGAGCCCCTTAAGCCAGCTTTGGGAGCACCGGGGACATCCACGGGCCTGTCCCAGGGAGTGGGTCACAGCGCCTAGGCTGGCACAGGGGAGGCGCCACACCGGGACACCAGGGCCACAGGGAGCCTGGCGCACAGCCACTGCTGGAGCTTTTGTTGGCGAGCTTTGAGTTGGCAGCTGAGGCTTTTAAGGCTCAGAGATACAGGAGGGTCAAGCCAGTGGCCCCAGGAAAGCCAAGGGCCCGAGGGAGGTCCGTATGGCCTGTTACCGGCCTGCCGCCCCCAGGTGTTCCGGCTCCCTGTGCAGAACTGTCTGAGCTACCCAACCTGTGCCCAGTGCCTCGGCTCTCAGGACCCATACTGCGGCTGGTGTGTCGCCGACGGACGGTGAGCGCCTGGGTCTGGGGGTCTCGGCCCAGTTGCCGCCCAGGGGCTGACGGGGAACAGGGCTGAGGCTGCCTTCCATCCCGTAGGTGCACCAGGAAGGCTGAGTGCCCACGGGCTGAGGAGCACGGCCACTGGCTATGGAGCCGCAAGGAGTCCTGCGTGACCGTCACCGGCGCCCAGCCCCAGAACATGAGCCGGCGGGCCCAGGGGGAGGTGCGTGGCGAGGGCGGGCAGGGTGGAGTGTAGGGCAGAGGCAGGGCCGCTGGGGCGGCCGGGAGACCCTCACAGTGTCTCGCTCTTGGCCTAGGCTCTGACCCTGAGGACAGGGAACCCGGCCTTTGTGGCGTTCCCCTGGCTCCTGTGACCTGGTGTATCCAGGGCAGACCCATCCAGGATTGTGGGGGTGACCACATAGGGCCCTGTTTCGATAAAATGGGGTCAGATTTTAGAGGCTTATCTGGGGGTCAGCCTGTGCGCAAGCAGGGGCCACAGGACAGGCGCTCTGGTTGGGGGGTTCTCTCACTGACAGACCAGCCCTGGTCCCCTCACCCTCCAAGACTGGGCAGAGGGGTCCAGTGTGAGCCTCATGGCCTTCCCCAGGTGCAACTGACCATCAGTCCTCTCCCGGCTCTGGGCCAGAGGGATAAGCTACAATGCGTCTTTGGTAACTCAACGCCACACCCTGCCCGCATGGAGGGGGACACCATCGTCTGCAACTCCCCAAGTCGCATTCCCAGCACGCCACCTGGCCAGGGTGAGGCCCCATCCTCCAGCCACCAGCTGGCACTTGTCCCCCCTTCCTGTACGCCTTGGGGTCACTCGCCCCGCCTATCTTGCCCCTCCTATGATGCAGCCCCAGGATGCATGCTGAGGAGAGAGGGTGCAGACGGCACCTCCAGGGCTCCTGTGCAGAGGCCCTAGGCAGTGATGCCTCTGGGACCCTGAGCCGTGCGAGCTGTGCAGCCGGCACCCACCCCCACCCACCTCACAGCCATTAGCGAGAGTGACTCTGCTTAGACCTTCCACTGTACTGCTGTGTCACATTTACTCAGCCTCTCCTGCTTATCAGGCCCTGGGCTCTGGCGTCTATGCAGAAGCCCCTCCTCCCACACTGTCCAACTTGAGACAGGTGGAGCTGTCCCCAGAGGCTGGGCCCCGAATGTGGGCCAGGTCAGGCGCCGAACCTCTGTCCCCTGAGCGTTCAGGGCCTGTGGAGGGCAGCTTGCTGGTATGGGCAGGAGCCACGCAGTGACGTGCAGGGACCTGGCAGACACTCTGCCCCAGACACTGAGGAACCCTGCAGGGACGGAGCCATACAAAGCCCTGGGGGCAGACACCTGAGCTGGAATCTGATAGCAGGAGGCAGGTGTGCTGAGCTCAAGGCCCCCTCAGGGCCCACCCACAGACCAGAGCTTTCCACAATTGGCCTCTGGTTCTGTGCTCGATGGCCTTTTGGTAGCTGTGATGGGACAAGGACTTGGGGATGGCAGAGGCCCAAGTCCAGGCCTTTCTGTCCCCCACCCCTGCCATGCCAGCCTTGCCATTGGCTCTGTGGTCCCCCACCTGACACTGTCCCCATTTGCTGTCTGCAGACCACGTGGCCATGAGCATCCAACTCTTTTTCAAACAAAACAACGTCTTTCTCACCTCCCACCTGTACCCCTTCTATGACTGCCGGGAAGCCATGAGCCTGGCAGAGAACCTGCCGTGAGTGTCACACCTGCCCAGCCCCCCAGTTCCACACATCCCCCCCCACTTCCCCACCACCGCAGACCCAGTATCTTCACCACCCCTCCCCCAGGTGCATATCCTGCGCCAGCAACCGCTGGACCTGTCAGTGGGAGCTGCGCTACCATGAGTGTCGAGAGGCCTCGCCCAACCGTGAAGACGGCATTGTCCCAGCTCACATGGTGAGGGGCCATGGTCTGCGACGGGCGGGGGGAGGCTGCAGCTGGGCCCCGGCCAGGTAGCACTGACCAGCCTGACTCGCTACAGGAGGACTACTGCCCCCAGTTCCTGAATCCCAGCCCTCTGGTCATCCCCATGAACTATGAGACAGAAGTGACCTTCCAGGGCAAGAACTTGGACACCGTGAAGGTGGGTGCTGCCTGGGGACAGGATGACCAGCGCAGATAGGCCTGGGACCAGGAGGTTCCTGATGGGCGGCCGAGCGTCTGTGGGCCCTGCTCAGAGCCAAGTTCCTGCGAAGTCAAAGTAGAAGTGCCTGGACCCACATCGGCCACCCCAGCGCAGGGCTCAGTGGGCAGGGGTCAGAGATGGTCGGGGGGCGGGATCAGGGCATTCCAACAGGCCTCGACAACATGGGCTGACAAAGGGAGGGAGGCAAGTGTGGGGTGTTGGGGTGCTGGGCAGTGGGGTGGCGTGCTCAGGTTTAGACCATGGTGGGGTATGGTGCTCGGGGACCGCAGGACGGGGAGGCTGGCCTGTCCGGGTGTCCTGACTGGCCGGCCTTGTAGGTCTCCTCCCTGCATGTGGGCAGTGATCTGCTCAAGTTCGAGGAGCTGGTGATCACACGGGAGCCAGAAACCTTCTTCTTTCGGACCCCAAAGGTACGGCTCCCAGGGTGGACAGGCCAGGCTGCTGGACCCCGGTTACCTGCAGAGCTTGAGGGGTGTGGCGGAGGGAGGCTTACCCGTCCCTGCTCTGCTGAGGAAGCTGGGGTGGCCGGCCAGGCAGGTGTGGCCTGAGTATGTCTGTGTCCTGTCGTCCGGAATCAAAGCGATCTTTAGTGTCTCTGAAGCTCTAGCCTCCCTGCGCTGCCTCTCAGCTATGAGGGTCCACAAGGGCACAGTGGTCACCCTCTGGGTCACCCTCAGGGCTCAGGTGGGAGCAGGGAGTACAGCGTGTCCCTGTGTCCCCCCAGCTATCCCATGATGGCAACGAGACGCTGCCCCTGCATCTGTATGTCAAGTCATTCGACAAGAACATCGACAGCAAACTCCAAGGTGGGGGCTGAGGGTGAGCAGCGGAGGCCAGTGGGGAAGGCTGGCGAGGTGGCCCTGCTGACCGCTGGCTTCTCCCTCCACAGTGACCCTCTACAACTGCTCCTTTGGCCGCAGCGACTGCAGCCTCTGCCTGGCAGCTGACCCTGCCTACAAGTGTGTATGGTGCAGCGGGCAGAGCAGGTGTGTGTACGAGGCGCTGTGCAACAACGCCACCTCCGAGTGCCCGCCACCCGTCATCACCAGGGTGAGCCCCCCTCAGGCCTCCTTGTGGGGAGGGAAAGGGCTCCAGCCTGAGCCTGGCCCACCTGCACGGCCCCGCCTGCCCAAGCTGCCAGGTCAGCCGGGCTCTGCCAATTTCAGATCCAGCCTGAGACGGGCCCCCTGGGTGGGGGCATTCGCATCACCATCCTCGGGTCAAATTTGGGGGTCAAAGCGGATGACGTCAAGAGGGTCACTGTGGCTGGCAAGGACTGCGCCTTTGAGCCAGAACGGTACTCCGTGTCCACCCGGTGAGTGGACAGCCCATGGCCTGGGCTCCATTGGCCGGGTCAGTGTCCCCCCCCCCGGGGGGAGCCGGGTGACTGGGCGGATGGAGGAAGGACACAGTCCAGGCCTGTGTGGGTGCCCAGGACCGCACACTTACAGACTTGCCAGTCAGGCAGGGCCTGGGGTGGGCCTTGAGCGTGTCCCCACCTTCCCTGTTGCCCACCCAGGATCGTGTGTGCCATCCAGGCCGCAGAGGAGCCATTCACAGGGGGCGTCGAGGTGGACGTGAATGGGAAGCTCGGCCATTCGCCACCCCACGTCCAGTTCACCTACCAGGTCAGTGCCTGATCCCCCAGGACCCAGCTGTGTCTTAAAGGTAGGGATGGACGTGGTTAAATCTGGTCACTGCTGCTGACTTGTGGACTGTTGGGGGCTGTGGCCCTGTCACTTTCTGATGATAGTCGAGGCCCAGCGGGTTGGAAGGGCTGTGCCCCACCTCCCTAGGCCTGACCTGAATACACATGCATCTCTTCTAGGAGCCCCTGCCCCTCAGCGTGGAGCCAAAGCAGGGGCCGCAGGCAGGTGGCACCACGCTGACCATCAACGGCACCAACCTGGACACAGGCTCTATGGAAGACGTGCGGGTGACCCTCAATGATGTCCCTTGTAAAGTGTGGGTGTCACCTGCAGGCCAGCGAATCTCTGGTGTGCCCTGGTTCTCGGTGTTCTTTCTGGCCATGACCCTGAGTTTGTCTTGGAGGGGACATGGCAACCAACCTGACCCACTGACCCTCTAGCCCTGGGCTGGGGTTGGCCCCAGGGTGTGGTTGACACTGACCGGCAACCCTCACCTCTAGGACGCAGTTTGGGGCACAGCTCCAGTGTGTCACCGGCCCCCAGACAGCTCTGGGGGAGCTGCCCCTCGCGATCTACTACGGGGGCTCCCTAGTGCCAAGCCCTGGTGTCATCTTCACCTACCGTGAGAACCCAGTGCTGTTCACCTTCCAGCCACCGCGAAGCTTTGCCAGGTGTGGCCTCTCCCTCCCCTCTGGAAGGGCACCCCCCACTGCCCGCCAGGGCTCCCCGCACCACACCCACCCTCCCGCTACTTCCCAGGCACCCTCTGCCCACTGGGTTTGTGAGGATGTGCTGGGGCTGGTCTGGGTGGCAAGAGGAAGTCTCCGGAAAACCCCCCTACACCCCCATATCAGCCTCCTCCTAGAAGCCCACAGCCCCCTTGTAGTACTCATGGCAGGCGTGTGAACCCAAAAGCAGAGTGGGGCGGGGATCCCAGCCCAGCCCACCGCATGGCCAGAAGGAGGGACTGGAGGGCACGGCCCACTCAGTCCCCCCGCACTCCCTCCACCAGCGGCGGCCGCAGCATCAATGTCACAGGGCAGGGCTTCAGCCTGATCCAGACGTTCGCCATGGTGGTCATCGCTGAGCCCCTGGAGTCCTGGCAGCAGCGGCAGGAGGCCGTTCACCTGGAGCCAAAAACGGTCAGTGTTGCTGCCAGCTGGGGGCGCGCTGGGGAACGATGGGGCCCGTGCCAAGTGGCCTGATGGCCTGGCCTCAACCTGCAGGTCGTGGGCACAGAGTACATGTTCCACAACGACTCCTTGGTCGTGTTCTTGTCCCCGGCCGTTCCTGAGGAGCCCGAGGCCTACAACCTCACAGCCCTCATTCAGATGGATGGGCACCGTGCCCTGCTCAGGACCGAGGCTGGGGCCTTTGAGTACGTGGCCGACCCCACCTTCAAGAACTTCACAGGGGGCATCAAGAAGCAAGTCAACAAGCTCATCCACGCCCAGGTGAGGTCGGGCTCATGTGGGGAGGCCACCAAGATCTGGGCTGAGCTGGTCCAGGTGTCCCTGACTCCCTCCTGGTCACTGTGACCCCTGGCCCTGACCTCCACCCCACAGGGCACCAACCTGAACAAGGCAATGACACTCCACGAGGCCGAGGCCTTTGTGGGTGCTGAGCGCTGCATCATGAAGACGCTGACCGAGACCGACCTGTACTGCGAGCCCCCGGAGGTGCAGCCCCCTCCCAAGCGGCGGCAGAAGCGGGACACAGCACACAACCTGCCTGAGTTCATTGTGCGTGGGGGGCGGGGCCGCAGGGCAGGGGGCGGGGCTCCAATGAGCAGGAGGAGAGGAGCTCGCCAGAGCGGGCCAGGCTGTCCGTGCTGAGCCCTCCCCTCCACGCAGGTGAAGTTCGGCTCCCGGGAGTGGGTGCTGGGCCGCGTGGAGTACGACATGCGTGTGAGTGAGGTGCCGCTCAGCCTCATCCTGCCGCTGGTCATTGTGCCCATGGTGATCATCATCGCCGTGTCTGTCTACTGCTACTGGTAAGGCCCTCCCCGCAGCCTCAGTCCCCACACCCCTGCCTAGCACTAGGCAGAGGCCCAGAGCCACTTCCCTGTGCCCCAGGAGGAAGAGCCAGCAGGCGGAACGCGAGTATGAGAAGATCAAGTCCCAGCTGGAGGGCTTGGAGGAGAGCGTTCGGGACCGCTGCAAAAAGGAGTTCACGGGTAGGGCCGCCCGGCTGGGGAGGCGGGGCCTGGGGCTGCCCTCTCAGGGCTGGAGGCCAGGAGGAGAGGCCGAAAAGGGCGGTGTGGCCAGCGATGCATCTTCCCCCAGACCTGATGATTGAGATGGAGGACCAGACGAACGACGTGCACGAGGCGGGCATTCCTGTACTGGATTACAAGACGTACACCGACCGCGTCTTCTTCCTGCCCTCCAAGGATGGTGACAAGGATGTGATGATCACGGGCAAGCTGGACATCCCCGAGTCGCGGCGGCCCGTGGTGGAGCAGGCCCTCTACCAGTTCTCCAACCTGCTCAACAGCAAGTCCTTCCTCATCAATGTGAGCGGGCCAGCGCGCGGGCAGAGCCAAGGGTGGTGGGGCAGGTTGGGCACGGGCGGGCTCTGACCGGCCACCCCCACAGTTCATCCACACCCTGGAGAACCAGCGGGAGTTCTCCGCCCGCGCCAAGGTCTACTTTGCGTCGCTGCTGACGGTGGCCCTGCACGGGAAGCTGGAGTACTACACAGACATAATGCGCACGCTCTTCCTGGAGCTCATGGAGCAGTACGTGGTGGCCAAGAACCCCAAACTGATGCTGCGCAGGTGTGTGAGGCGACGGCGCGGCCAGTGGCGCAGAGGCCGCCCCGGGGCTCCTGATTTGCTGGGAGGAGGGGCAGCAGGGCTGGGTCCCTGGCAGCACATGGTCTCTGCTAGTCACTTAGTTGCTTTCTGTAGGATGGGGGGACGGGGGCTTAGTCCTGACGGGGACCCAGAGCCTGGATGAGGAGGGAGGTCTGGGTACCTGAAGAGCCAGCTGGGCCCACAGGCACTAAGGATCCCTCGGCACCTCCAGGTCTGAGACTGTGGTGGAGAGGATGCTGTCCAATTGGATGTCCATCTGCCTGTACCAGTACCTCAAGGTGGGTGCCATGTGGCAGGTGGGCTGGGGAGGGGCGTCCACTGCCCGGGCAACACCTCCAGGTTGCATGGTCCGTGCCACTCGAGGCTGAGCCTGCCTACCTTGCTCCAGGACAGTGCTGGCGAGCCTCTGTACAAGCTCTTCAAGGCCATCAAACACCAGGTGGAGAAGGGGCCAGTGGACGCCGTGCAGAAGAAGGCCAAGTACACCCTCAACGACACGGGGCTGCTAGGGGACGACGTGGAGTACACACCCCTGGTGAGGGCCCGGTGGGCTGTGGGCTCCTCCGAGGCCAGGCTCAGGACCAGTGCTGGGTGCTCTCCACCTCCCTGTATGGGCCCACCTGTGCTCAGGGCAGGGCCCGGGGACATCAGGCCCTGTCACTAGCCTTTTGGAGATAGGCTCTAAGTGTAATGACCCCAAGCCATCTGTCTCTGGGGCTCCTGCCCTGGCCTGCTACACACCAAGTGTGTCTGTGGTGAGCATGTGTACACACGTGAGAGGAGGTACGTGGTGTGTGAGCTGTGAGTGAGCAGTCCTCTGTCCCCTGCTTTGTCCTGCTGAGCCTGGGCGTGCTGTGAAGAGCAAGACTGGCCACCCTAGGTGTGGTAGGGGCTCAGAGCCCACCCACTGGCCCTTCATCCCCTGTCCCCCGGCAGACAGTGAACGTGATTGTCCAGGATGAAGGGGTCGACGCCATCCCCGTCAAGGTCCTCAACTGTGACACCATCTCCCAGGTCAAGGAGAAAATCATTGATCAGGTGTACCGCACGCAGCCTTGCTCCCGCTGGCCCAAGGCTGACAGTGTGGTCCTCGGTGAGCAGGGTCCCTGTGGGGGAGGGAGGGGCTGCCCTCAGGACCCTGGTTGGGGGGGATTGGGGGTGCTCTGTGGCCGGGTTCCAGGAGCTGGGCTGTGTCTTCCCACAGAATGGCGTCCTGGGTCCACTGCCCAGATCCTATCAGATCTGGATCTGACCTCGCAGCGGGAGGGCCGGTGGAAACGCATCAACACCCTGATGCACTACAACGTGAGTTTGGGTGGCGGGGAGGCTGCAGTCCCACCCGCCTGGACTGTGGAGCGAGGCCCGCTCTCATGGCCATGTTCCCCAGGTCCGGGACGGAGCCACTCTCATCCTGTCCAAGGTGGGGGTCTCCCAGCAGCCGGAGGACAGCCAACAGGACCTGCCTGGGGAACGTGAGTCCCTTCCCCTTGTCCTTGGAGGTCAGCGTGGACCAGTGTCCACTTCTTGCTGCCAGGTGAGGGGCTGCCCAGCGCAGCGTGGGTCCCAGGCCCCATCCTCGTCCCTCAGCGTGCCCCTCCCACAGGCCACGCCCTCCTGGAGGAGGAGAACCGTGTGTGGCACCTGGTGCGGCCCACAGACGAGGTAGAGGACGGCAAGTGCAAGCGCGGCAGTGTGAAGGAGAAGGAGCGCACGAAGGCCATCACGGAGATCTACCTGACGCGCCTGCTGTCTGTCAAGGTGGACGCGCTGCTCCGGCGGGGCGGCGCTGGGGGCGTTCCGGCCCCGCCCCCGCGGGCACTGAGTCCTCCTCTCCCTCCCGCAGGGCACGCTGCAGCAGTTCGTGGACAACTTCTTCCAGAGCGTGCTGGCGCCTGAGCTGGCGGTGCCGCCCGCCGTCAAGTACTTCTTCGACTTCCTGGATGAGCAAGCAGAGAAGCACGACATCAAGGATGAGGACACCATCCACATCTGGAAGACCAACAGGTGGGGGCCCTTCCATCACGTTGGCCGCCCGCCCTGCCCCTGGGTGTCGGCGGCCCCTCACCCCTGTCGCTCTGCCTCAGCTTACCGCTCCGGTTCTGGGTGAACATCCTGAAGAACCCGCACTTCATCTTTGATGTGCACGTGCATGAGGTGGTTGACGCCTCCCTGTCGGTCATCGCACAGACCTTCATGGATGCCTGCACACGCACAGAGCACAAGCTGAGCCGTGTGAGTAGGCCCAGGGCAGCCCTGGTGGGTGGGGAGCTTGGTTGTCGCCAGGATGCCCCGAGGGCCTGGACTGGGCAGTGTCCAGGGGAAACTGGGGCTGTGATGAAGTGAGGACGTCAGTTTGGGATGTGCCAGGGGGTTTGTCTGGGTGTAGATTTGCACATCTGGGGCTGGAACTCAGGAAAAAGTCAGGGGCAAGGTAACTGGGGCCAGAGAGCCTGGGAGGTCCTCTGGTGACTGGCCTCTGGCAGCCTGGGTCCCCCGCCTCCTTCCCCTCCTGTGGGGACCCTTCCCCTACACAAGCAGAGAATAGACTTACTACAAATGGCAAAACGGCGACAGCATCAGGGGACTCGTCAGGTCTGCAGCTGGGCAGGGTAGCAGCCCCTCCTTTCTCTGTGGGTATCCTGAGCTGGGCTGGGCCTGGCTCTACTGGGGCCCAAGGGCAGGGACACCAGCCAGCCCATTTTGGCCTGGGTGTCACTGGGCTCTGACCCCCACAGGACTCCCCCAGCAACAAGCTGCTCTACGCCAAGGAGATCTCCACCTATAAGAAGATGGTGGAGGAGTGAGTACTACCCCACCCTCCAGCCAGGCCTGGTGCCCACCCTTGAGCCCCACCCAGGGGGGCTGCTGGGGGTGGTTCAGGCCTGTGATTGGCAGGAGGACCCTGGCGGGCAGCTTTGGGTCCAGCCTTTGGGACCCACTGCCCCTCCCTTCCAACAGTTACTACAGGGGGATCAGACAGATGGTGCAAGTCAGCGACCAGGATATGAACACACACTTGGCAGAGATTTCCCGGGTAAGGGGGACACAGGGACACACTCACTGACCCACTCAGCTTCCCTCCCCTAAAACCCCTGCTGAGTGAAACAGCAGACTGCACTGCAGGGTGGGGTGTGTTGTGCCCCCAGGAGAGAAGCTGAGGGGGAGGCCAGATGGGCTGGCATCTGCGTGTGACCACATGTGTGCTGGGGGGCGGGAGCTGTGTCAGCCGTGCCACCTGCATGGCTGGAGAGGTCCATGGCTGTCCCATGCATCTGAGTGCTGTGAGGCTGTGACCCTTTGTGTTCCCCCTGTGCCACATGTAATGGCCCACTGCTTGGTCCACTGGGAGACAGCTTCCTGCCCGCAGGGTCACAGCCCCTCCCTGGCCTTGGGTCACACTGCCCCCTTCTCTCCCCCAGGCACACACGGACTCTCTGAACACCCTTGTGGCCCTGCACCAGCTCTACCAGTACACCCAGAAGTACTATGACCAGGTAGGGGTCTTCCTAGGGTGGCGGTGTCGGGCGGCCTGCTCCCTGGCCTGTGGCCTGACATGACCCCCCACAGATCATCAGTGCCCTGGAGGAAGACCCGGCCGCCCAGAAGATGCAGCTGGCCTTTCGCCTCCAGCAGATCGCAGCTGCACTTGAGAACAAGGTTACAGACCTCTGATCCCAGGTCTCTGCCACCACGGTCTTGGGGCACAGGTGCGTGGTGCCCGGTGCCGGCGTCGGGCAGCCTTGGGAATGCAGCTGAGGTGTGGGCTCAGCCCATCTCTCTCACCAGCAGAGGAAGAGCCCCTGGGTGCCTGAGCGTGGGTGCCGCAGAGACCCCCACCTCAGCATATGTAGCCACAGAGCAGCTCTCCTGAGCAACAGCGTCGGGTGCCCCCAACACCAGCCCCTCTGCAGAACCAGTGCCCGGCGTCTCCCAGTGGAGTCTTCTGAACAGTCCGCAAATGTGCCTTTCACCCCCGGCGCCATGCCGTGTCTCTAGGGACAGTCGGACCTCAAGCCCCCACTTCCCAAGCACCAGCAGCCGCCTCATCCCTGGGTCTGGTCTCTCCGGGTGGGGTCTGAGTGCCTGTAGCCCCAGGGCCTTGCGTCCAGACTGTCTGCCTGCCCCACCTGGGCAGGAGGAGAAAAGCGGTACGATGCCTTCCTGACCTCACCTGGCCTGCCCTGCGGGGCACTGGCACTCCCAGTGGACTCGTGCTTAGGGCCCCACCTCAAAGGTCAAGCCGGACGTCAGACGTCAAAGCCCAGGCTGCCAGCAGGGACCCTGCCAACTGGGAATCCTGGCCTCGGCCTGTCAGACAGGCTGTCCTGGAGGCCCTGCTCTAGTCTGAGGGGCCAGGAGCAGCTCTACCCAGGACTCCTACCGCCCCCCTTTTTGTAAATCGTGTTAATTGTAAATCAAATACATGTGTCTTTTTAACTTGGCTGGTTGGCTGGGTTCCTCCTAGGGCTGTTCGATGTGCCGTTCTGCTCACTGCCTCCCTCCCCAGGCACTGTTTGGCCCTAGGATCTCACCCTCAGGTGGGCCTGTGGGCCTCACGTCCCCCACCTCCCTCACTGCTCTGAGCCAGGCCAGTGGGGTGTGTGCAGAGCCTGCAGCCCACCCACAGCCACCAGCTGAACTGAGTCCACACCTTCCCTGCTCTGCTGCCCCAGAGAATAGGATGGTCAAAGGCTGGGGGTTGAGGCCTTGGGCATGTAGAAGGGCTGGGGCAGCTCAGGCCCAAAAGGGATCCTGGAAAGGACTGTGTTTCTAGAGGGGTACAAGGAGGCAGCCCTACCAAGTGAGGAAATCGGGGGATTGGGCTGGCTCAGGCACCATCTGGAGGCCAAGACATCCCCCAGTCCCCCTTGGGCTGGGCCACTAGGAGCCATCAAGTGGGGGGTGGCCATGGTATCAGTCTGCTGTCTGGACCTTGAGTTCACAGGGACCTGTTTTTTCTCTCCTGAGGTGAGGGTCCCCCCAAGTGCACATTTAGTAAGTCATTCCTGTATGCAGACCTTACTAGACCATGGCTGGCTCTGGGGTAGAGAGCCCTGTGTCCCCCTGTTCAAGGCTGTGGGGCCATTAGGGTGGGCTTCTCCGTTCCCTGAACCACCCCAGGATGACCCAGGACATAAGGAGGGCTCAAGGGCCCTGTATGGGAGAGCAGGTGGCACCTCTGCTGATGCCAGGGGAGTGGGGGGTGGGGGTGGGGCTCCCAATCCTCATGTCCTGCGCTGGGCAGGGGCTCAGATGTGCCACCTACAGCCATCAGGCACACGTGTATGCACGCAAAGCACCCACGTGTCAGCCCCCTTATGCTACACATGCTGTTATGGGCACTAGGGACACAACAGTAAGTGGGACAGACAGGGCCGGCTCTGGGGGAGCCCCTGTGTCCCAAGAGTACCAACCTAAGCAGAAAGGAGACTTGGCGGCTCCAGAACGAGGAAGTGGAGGCAGTGCATCTGCAGGTATGGCTGGATACAGGCGCTCACATGCCTTTGGGTTCCACCCGTCTGAACTGCTTCCCAAAGCATGCGGATTTATCCTTGGGCAGCAGAGATGCTGTGGCAGGCAGCCCCAGCCTGTGGCTCTTCCATCACTTGGGGCACCACTGTGGCTGGGGACTCCCAGTAGGCTAGGCCTTGATCATGAGCCACTGTGCATGGGGCAGCCCCCTTCAAGCCACGTGGAACGAGGGTGGGTATCATTTCCCACAAGGAAGGGGTACTAGCCAGACAGCTGATAGTCCCTTCCGCGAGACTCCTGAAATGACACTGCTATGGTCTCCGTTTTCCAGAGACCCAGCTAGTCAGGAAATCTGAAAAAGGTACTGCTAAGAGTTGGGGGGGGCACAGTCTGGGAGTGCTGAGTCTGGGGAGGGGGACATGGAGGCCTGGCTTTTTGAACCCCTGCAGGCCACTTTTGCCCTCCCACTTTCCACACCTCCACACCCCCAACCAGGTAAGAAGATGGGAAGTCGGTGAGACCCTCTTCTACTCTGAAGCTTGGAGATAGGGGAAGGTCTGCAGGTCCATGAGGTGGGGTCCCACCCTCAGAGACCAGGAATGTGAAGGGATCCAGGGGCTTTCCTTTCATGGGGCTGGTGAAGAGTAGACACTGGGCTTGGATGTTGGGGTGCATGGGGTGGGCAGGCCAGCCTCGAGTGGTCCGGATGGCGACTGCCCTTTCCATTGCTTTCCACTTCCCATTTTCTCTAATGTAAAGGGAGCGGGGAGAGGCAGTGATGGGAAGGGGCCGCCGGAACCCCCTGGACCTTTCCTTCCAAGTTACAGGCCACACCCCCTTGCTTAAGAGCCGGAACCCTACCCCCGCCACCCCCAGCCAGGTTAGCATTTTAGGAAGTTCACTGTGACCTCAGGGCAAAGTGCAGCTAGCCCAGCAAGGGGCTGAAAAGGGGTGACCTGGACATGGGGAGAAGGGCTGGACTCTTGATATTTAGGGGTGACAATGAGCCACAGAAGGTGGACAGAGACCAGGGCTGGCCTGGGTAGGAGGCCCCTCTGTTCAGCCCCAGCACACACGCCCCGTCTTCCCAGACGCCCAGCTGCTGCTGTCCCTGCCCCACACCACCCGGTGCTCCAGGCTCAGTGCTCTCACCCAGGCGCGGCAACCTTGACATGGTGGCCTGGATGATGCTACGAAAATGTGCAGCACAGCTCCCATCACCCTGAGATCAAAAGTCTGAAATCCGGACCGTGCCCCTCCCCCACCAGCTTGCCACAGCCTCAGCCCACGGCCACCTTCCTCCTTTCAGTTCCTTAAGTCCTCGAGAGGCAGGGCTGTCTTGAGGCTGGGCCCAGCTCTGCTGGTGTCGCCTCTCCAGGTGGCTTGCCGACCTGCCCTACTCTGCCTGCCGTCACCCCCACCGGAAACTCTCCCTAGTCATTCCCCTGCAGTGTTACAACCCAGACCCTCCTCTGAAGACAACGTGGCGGGTTTGCTGAATGAGCGTCCCCACTCCGCGTGACCCGCTGAGCCCGGCAGGGAGACCGCTGCGCTCTGGTCGGCTCTGAGCACTCACAGCCAGGATTCCCGGGGGGGCGGTGGGCAAGATCGGGCAGCGGCTTCCTTGAGTGGGCGGGCTCCCCCACCCCTGGGGCGAGCACGGGGCTGCCCAGCCTCCGCGCAGGGACGGAGCCGGTCGCCATGGGAATGCGCTCTGGCCCGCGGGTCCGCCCAGACAAAGGCCAGGCCTCCCCGCGGCCCCACAGCCGGGTTCCCACAGCCCGGGCTCCGCTCCCGCCCAGCCCCCCGCTTTAGCTGAAGCCCCATTAACTCCGCACAAAACCTCTGCCGCCCGAGAAAGGCGCCCAGGGCGGGGCCCTGGAAGAGGCCCGGAGCGAGTGGCGAGGGCGGGGGTGGGGGGAGGCGGGGAAGGGTACCGCCTCCCAAGGGGGACACTGAGGCCCGGGGGCTCGGGTGGCAGGCGTGGCTGGGACTCAAACCCGGTTTCCTTCCTCGCTCCTCGGCTCCCCCGGGGGTCCGGATTCGCCAGCAGATACGCCTGTTTGCCCGGTGCTGCGTTGCCATGTTTTATTTTCATTTGGTTGCCAATATTTAAAAATCAGGAGAGTGCCATAAAAACTCAGGTTTTAACAATAGTTTGTTTCGAAAAAGCAGAAGATTGTCCAATTCAAGAGCCTAATTTCCTGCCTTCCTGGGGAGGGCAGCCCAGCCGCTACCCCGGCGGGAGTCAGGAAGCGTTAATCCACGTCGAGTCCTCTCCCGCGAGCTCCGGTCGCTGGACAGGGGTATATCCTCGCAGGTGCGCTGGCCAGAGGGCGAGGCCGTCCTGCCGGCACGGGGGAGCCCCCACAGTAGCTCCTGGGAGAACTGAACCGCGAGAGCAAAGTGCGGAGCGGTAGTTCGCGGCCCCTGGGAACTTGTTGCAAACTACAGGGGCTCCCCGATGCCTAGGAAAGGCAGGGTGGGCTTCCTGGAAGAGGTGACAGTGCACGGGGCTGTTTCAGAAGGAGGAAAGGTACCAGGCACCAAAGAAGACCCGTTCGGGGAAAGCGCCTTATGGGAACAACACCCCAGAGGCCCCCTGGTGCCGCCGCTGTCCCTGGTCCTGACAGGACTCATAGTTTCCCCTAGAGGCGCAGGGCGGCCAGCATCAGAGGAAGGTCTGTCTGCCAGGAGGCGAGCCTCGCCGCCAAAGCCAGAAGCGCCTCCACGGGGAGGGGCCAGGCTGGCCCAGGCCCCAAGGCGCCATCTGCCCAACGCAGAGGAGCGTATCTAACCCAGTGCCTCGCTGTTATTAGGTGGTGTTTTCTATGTGGCTGAGAAATGTCTCCCACGGTTCTCCCTGGCTTCTTTGATTTTGAGGGTTCTACTTCATTTCTGAGGAAGCACCTGCTGGGGGCGGGGGTGCAGGACCCGTAGGAGGAGGTGGCGGGGTGGGGGGGCGAAGAGGGGAATGCGTGGACCCCAGCAGGCGAAGAGGGTTGTAAGTGCCGGACCGGAGCAGGGGAGGAGGGAGGTGCCGGCGCTGGTGCGGGCAGGAAGGGTGCGGGGAGCCGAGTCCGGTGCGAGACAGTGGCGGCCTGGATCGGCGGTGCCCGGGCGAGGACAGAACGCGGGCGGATATTTGGAGAATGGACGCCAGGGGGTATAAACCGGAGGGGCGGTAAATCGGACCTTGGCCTTCGCCCTCCCTCCGGCGGAGGCCCATCCTCCCCGGGGCCGCCTCAGGGAAGCGAGAGGAGGTCGGGTTTCCGCTCAGCGGTGCCTCGGAGGGGCAGGAAACCGCCTAGTCTCCGGGAACCCCCTCGAAGCCCCGCCCCGCGCACCGCCCTCCGTGCGCTCGGCTCGCGCTCCGGTGCGGCGGGGGGCGCGAGCGGACATGTCGGGCCCGCGCGCCGGCTTCTACCGGCAGGAGCTTAACAAGACGGTGTGGGAGGTGCCGCAGCGGCTGCAGGGGCTGCGCCCGGTGGGCTCCGGCGCCTACGGCTCCGTCTGGTAGGGGCGGGGCGGGGGGGGCAGGGACGGGACTGAGTGCGCGCCCCCCCTTTCCCCGCCCCGCGGGGCTCCCGGCGTGGGGAGGGGCCTCGCCCTGCCTCCGCCCCTGGCCCTGCACGGATCCGTGGAATGAATGGGGGGTGGAGGGCGTGAAGGAAACTTTGCTACCAGACTCGGCTCCCGGGCGGGGAGAGGGGTGGTCTCCCGCCCCTTCTGATCCCCACCAGGCCAGAATCCTGCGGCGTCACCGCCGGCGAAAGGGCGGGTCTCCCGGCCCCTAAACGTCCGTGAATGCATCTGGGTTGCCCCCAGTGAAGGCTTTAGCAGCTCGGGGGTCTGGCAGATTGTCCCTCCGTAGGGTGGGTACTTTGGTTTGTGAAAGAGGAGCCCAGCTAGGGGAGGGGTCTTGCCTTAGGATGGCCTCAGGCTTTCCCGTGGGTCTTGCTCCTGCCCCGTTTTGCACGTGGTCTCAGAGCCTGTGTGGGGCTTGGGCCTGAGCGGAGACGCCTACCATTACACCCCACCCTGTTTTTGTCCCAGCGTAGAGCTCAAGACCACAGCCCCACGGTTAGGCCCTGGGGCCCAAAGAGAGGACAGTCTGGAAGCGGGCCGAGGGTCTGATGGGCTGAGGTCTGTTACCCTGGAGGGTGGGCAAGCTGCAGGGGGCTTAGGGTGAGGTGGTTGCAGGGAGTCCCGGTGTCACTTGCAGTGTTGAAAGTGAGGCTGATTGTGGGTGTGGATGTTGAGTGCTGTGCCCCTCAGCACCCAGTGGGGTCCTTACCGAGGCCAGTGCCAGGTGGCTGCTGCCACTACAGGGGTCATGGGGCAGGGAGGCAGGGGCCCTCTAGGGGCTGGCATTACTCCAGGATCTGGAAGGTTAAGAATGGGATTCCAGTGGAACCCATCCTGAGACCCACCCAGTGCTGGAGTCTGGAGGAGGGGCTTGGGGTCCCCGTGGCCTCTGGTCTCTGATCTCACGATCTCACGCTGTCACAAGCAGTAAGGAGCCTCAAGCAGCCCATTTCAGCCACTCCAGCCACAGCCCTCTGTCTTATCTCTAAGATGGCAAGGGTAAGAAGAGGGTGAGGGACAAAGTGTGAATGGCCCCTGGGGAATCTGACCGAGCCCTTGATGGAATTGCCTCTGGCCCAGAATCTCCTTCTGGGGATTCCTCTTGAGTGTCAAGCTCCCCAAGGGAGGCCCAGGTCCCTCTCCACTGCACTAGCTTGGCGAGGCCTGGCGCAGGTGACGGCCTTCTCCTGCGCTTCCTCGTTCCTCTGATGAAGCTGCCCACCAAGGGCCAACTCGCTGTGGTTCCACTGCACAGATGGAATTAGGCCAAAGGATCTGCTGCCCCACCTGAGGGGCCCACCCCTACTTCCCACCCCAGGAGTGACTTGGACCTTCCCTAGTAGGTCATAGGCTAGGAGGAGGGGCACAGATGCCCCAGGCGCCTACCTGGCCCCCTCCCCTCATCCCTCCGCCTGGTCCCGCAGGAGCTGCTGCCGGGACTGTGTGGACTCCGCTCACCTTGGTGGAGGCAAGGTCCCAGAGACAGGAGGTGATGTCCGGGAGGAGCACCAGCTAGAGGGAGCAGCCTGTGGATGGCGTTGCCCTCAGCAGGGCCCTATCCTGAGAGCAGTGGGACCTCAAGAGGGTGGGGTTGGTGACTGGACCCTTTGCGTGTAGGGCGGTGCCAGTGGCTTGTGTCTCCAGAGAAGGGTAGATGGCTGTGCAGGTGGAGGGTCTGGACCTCTGAGGACTGGGGTTGGGCAAGGGAAGACGTGGGCTGCTGCGGACAACACCCTCTGCTGCACATTTCCTACTGTCCGTTTTCTCACGGTTGCAAGTAATGATGCCAGTTTTTCCTCCATCTTTTGAGTATCCAGAGGCTGTGGAGGCAGCTCCAGAACCTCCAGACCCACAGCCCGTGGGGGCGGGGGGCCACTCGCTGTGGGAATAGCCAGTGGCTGTTTTCCTGGTGTGTTATTTCCACCCTGGTCAGTGGACACACTCCTTCCCCAGCCTCACTGTGTTGGGGGTGAGTCGTGGGGGCGAGGGGACAAGAACCAGGCCCTGCTCTGCGGCTCCTGGTGGGGCAGGCTGGGAAGGCCTGCGTGTAAGGGTGGGGGAGGCGGAGCTGCCTCTTGAGGAAGGAGGCTCAGAGAGCGAGCAGGTCGTGTTCTCATCGCTGGGATCCTGCGGCAGCGCGCGGATGGCGTCCAGCCCGAGGGATCCTCGGGAGCAAACGTGCCGAGGCAGGAGAGCGGTGGGCGAGCAGGGGTGGGGGAGCGGGCCCATCCTCACGGAGGAGTGGCGGCCTGGGGTGTCTGTGAGCGGCCGGGCCGCCTCACCCACGCCCTTGCAGCTCGGCCTACGACGCGCGGCTGCGCCAGAAGGTGGCGGTGAAGAAGCTGTCGCGCCCCTTCCAGTCGCTGATCCACGCTCGGAGGACGTACCGGGAGCTGCGGCTGCTCAAGCACATGAAGCACGAGAATGTGAGGGGGCGGGGGGCTCCCCGTGGGGGCGCGCGGGGCGGCCCTGGGCTGGACCGCCCTCCTGACGCCCCTCCCCGCCAGGTCATCGGGCTGCTGGACGTCTTCACTCCCGCCACGTCCATCGAGGACTTCAGCGAAGTGTAAGCGGCATCCGGGACGCGCGGCCGGGTCGGCGAGGCAGGGCTCGGTCCTGACCGCTGCCCCCACCCAGGTACCTGGTGACCACCCTGATGGGAGCTGACCTGAACAATATCGTCAAGTGCCAGGCGCTAAGCGACGAGCACGTGCAGTTCCTCGTGTACCAGCTGCTGCGCGGGCTGAAGGTGGGCGCTGAGCCGGCTGGGGGGCGCGGAGCTGGGGCGGGAACCTGACGCTCGTCCTCCCCCCCAACCCCCGCAGTACATCCACTCGGCGGGGATCATCCACCGGGTAGGTGCCGCGGGGTGAGGGTCGGGCTCCTGCAGGACCCGCACTGCACTCCTCGCGCGCTCACAGCCCGCCGCCCTGCAGGACCTGAAGCCCAGCAACGTGGCAGTGAACGAGGACTGCGAGCTCAGGGTGAGCCCTGGACGGGGGCGGGCAGAGGGGCGGGGCTGCCAGGAGGCGCTGACCCCCAGGTGCTCGCTGTAGATCCTGGACTTTGGGCTGGCGCGCCAGGCTGACGAGGAGATGACCGGCTATGTGGCCACGCGCTGGTACCGCGCACCTGAGATCATGCTCAACTGGATGCATTACAACCAGACAGGTGATGTCAACTCATAGGGGGCGGCCTGTGGCTTGGGACCAGGGCGTGCAGGCCAAGCTCCTGCCAGGGCCTGGGGATGCGGGGTGGAGAGCCAAATGCCAAGGACACGGGGTGTTCCAGTCTTGGGGGACTGCAAGGTCTGGGAGCAGCATTCAGAAACAGGCCTTCCGAGGAGCAGAGTATGGTGGGTCTTGCCCAGGACTGTGTCTAGAGGAGGAAGGGACCTGGGTGTGACTTGGGAACTGGGCTGGTGCCACACAGGCAGCCTCCCAGTCCTCTGAGGAGGAACCTGGGGTGGACGGGCTGATGGAGACCCTTCCCCAGCAGTGGACATCTGGTCTGTGGGCTGCATCATGGCCGAGCTTCTCCAAGGAAAGGCCCTCTTCCCGGGAAATGACTGTATCCTTGGCCCAGGTTGGGGAGGAGGGTTGAGCCAGGGTCCCTTCTTGTGGGATGGGGGTCAAGGGAGGTGGGCTCTTTCTGGCCAGTCTTGCTTTCTGTGTCCCATGCCATGCCATCTTGGGCTCACGGTTCCCAGCTGTAGGAGAGCAAGTTCTGGGCAGTGCCCCAAGATCGGGGGTCTGGGGGCCTGAGAAGGGTTCGGGCCTGGCAATGGGCGTTTCCTGAGCCAGGCAGACATCGACCAGCTGAAGCGCATCATGGAGGTGGTTGGCACACCCAGCCCTGAGGTTCTGGCAAAGATAGCCTCAGAGCATGTGAGTCCCCGGCTTCCTCTGGAGGAAGGGCTGTGCGGGAAAGGACTGGGCACCATGTGGGAGCGTGGGCCACCGTGGAGTAGAGCCTAAGGGGAGAGCCTGACCCCTTCAAGGGGTAGCAGGTGGACCAGAAGACTTTCCTGGCATGAGGGACAGCGAGGGCAAAATCGCGGCACTGACAACAGTGCCCTGGCCAAGGACAGCGGGGCAGCTAGGCTGCCCCAGGAACTGAGGGCGTGATGCTGGAGCCACCAGAGCCAAAGGGGATGGTCTCTGCTCCGTGCAGGTCCTTGCCCGGGCCGGCGGACTGAATGAGAGTTTGGGGCCAGGGGAAGTAGCGGGTGAGCAGCTCCCTCAGGCCCTTCCATGTGCCTCCAGGCCCGGACATACATCCAGTCCCTGCCCCCCATGCCCCAGAAGGACCTCAGGAGCATCTTCCATGGAGCCAACCCCCTGGGTGAGGACGGGTCCTGGGTCTGGGCTGGGCTCCACATCTGGCCTTGGATGCAGAGCTGACCTTCAACCCCTGCCCTCCCCCAACCACTCTGTAGCAGTGGACCTCCTGGGAAGGATGCTGGTGCTGGATAGTGACCAGAGGGTCAGTGCAGCTGAGGCCCTGGCCCACGCCTACTTCAGCCAGTACCACGACCCAGATGATGAGCCCGAGGCCGAGCCCTATGATGAAAGTGTGGAAGCAAAGGACCGCACTGTGGAGGAGTGGCAGGGTGGGCAGGGGAGGCCGGCTGGGGTGGGGGAGGTGAAGTCCAGGGGCCTGAAGGCTGCCTTCTCATGGAGGCCTGCAGGAAGTGCCTCAGCGCCTCAGGGTGGTCTGGGAGGGGGCACAACATGCCCCCCCCCCAGCTCCAGGGTGGGGCCGGTAGAGATGGGGTTGGTGTGTCCAGAAGAGGCCGGGGCAGCACGGGGAAGGCCCTTGGGCTGAGGGTGCCTTCAGAGGACGGTGGACCTGGCTGGGCTGCTGGCACCAGACAAGTGGGTACAGGGTGCTGGGCTGGTGGCAGCATGAGCCTTTCTTTCCCCTCACCCCCCAGAGCTCACCTACCAGGAAGTCCTCAGCTTTAAGCCCCCAGAGCCACCGCAGCCGCCTGGCAGCCTGGAGATAGAGCAGTGACGCTGCCACTGCCGGCCAGCCACCCTTGAACTCAAGGAGAGGCCTGCACCTGCCTGTCCCACTTCCTCAGCCTACCACGTTCCCACAGGGGTGCCTCCCAGCACTACTCTGGCTGTCAGCTCTGACTGGGACCCCTAGTCTGCATGATGCTCCACGTGGGAGCCTGTGCACACGTATGAACACTGCATGTGTGCAAGCTGTGGGTGCAGGAGTCTGGGCAGTGTCCTGGACTTCCTCGGTCCTCCTGCCCCCTCCAGAAACCAGCGTCTCCCTTGGAATGTCACTGTGGGGGACCTGAATGCCTAGGGGTCCCCCTGGGGAGTATGTCTGTCTCCAGGTCTCCTCAGTCCCAGTGGGCTATCTCTAGGGGTTGGTGCATTGGGGTCAGGGTTCCCTGGAGACTCAAAGGGAGGGTCTCAGTGGTCAGAGCTGCTCAGCTTGGAAAATGCTGAGACCCAAAGCTCTCAGAGCTGGGCAGGGCCTTCCCTGGAGGGTGGCAGGTCAGGGACAGCCACCAAGTGTCAAATCAGAAAATCTGCTTGGAGCCATGTGTTCTCCTGTGCTGTGTGGCACATGTGCCCTGATATTTACATGTCAAGGTGTGTGCAGGCATGTGTGAACCTGTAGGCGCCTGAGGGCCCGTGGCCATTACCAGCTGGAGGCCCACGTTGGGGTGGCTATACTTGCCTCCCCCCAGTTTCTGATGCCATGGGGGGGGGGTACTGAGGTCCTGCTGTGCACCCTGTGAGGGGCTCAAGTGAACAAGGGGCAACCATGCGAGCAAAAGCTGGGGCATACTCCTTGGGTTTCTGAGGCATGAGGGCACGGTGCCAGCTGGGAAGCTAGCAAGCATGGGAGAGGTAGAGTGGATGCTGAGGGGGCTAGTACACATGAGGTGGACTTGGACTCAGACCCTGGACCTTGGCCCGGAGCTGATGAAGATGCCTCTGCCTGTTCTCAGAGCTGGGGTCCTTGTCCTCCCTCCCAGAATGGAGCTGACCTAGTAACCTCTGGGACAGGACCCTGCTCCAAAGGCATTGTGGGTGTTTCCTCCCTCGAGGGACTTCTGTTTTAGATGGTGCTGTCAGGTGGTGACCTCCTAACTCACAGGACCCAGGGAGGTCTGAATGTCAAGGGCCTGCACCAGGCTCTCGCAATAAAGGAAGTTCCCTCTCACTCAGCTGTGTCCCACGCTTCAGGAGCTGCCCTGCTATCCCTGCTGTCTGAAGGGGTGGCCGGGTCTCTGTGCATCACACACCCAGCTGGCCTGGCCCACCAGAGCCCTGCACTGGCCAGATCACTTGGGTATCCAGTCAGATAAGCCGCCGTCTTCAGCACCCTCTGTTCTCCACCCAGCCAGGGGCTCTAAGGGGTGGGATATGATGGCCTCCTACAAAGGAGCCTGCTGTGCTGCTGGGGGTTCATTGAGCACCTAGTCCAGATCCAGACCGGCCCCTTCACTCAGTGGTCAGGGAGGCCGCTGGGAGTGAAGGCCTGCCCTGCCCAGAGCTGGGTGGAGTGGAGGAAATAGCCTTCCTTCCTGGTTAAGGGGAAAGGGCCACTTAAGCTCTCCAGATGCACAATGAGCTACTAGCCTCTACGGCTCACTGCAGCTCAGGTCGGGGAGGGCCTGGGCCCCAATGGGGGTCAGGCAGGGTGTCTCCAGGACAGGGACACTCTGTATCCTTACCCTGGGCCTTGGGGGTGGAGATCATCTGGGAGTTGAATGTCCAGGGGCCTGGTCAGCGTGGCCACTGGGCTTCAGATCTTGGGGAACCTGGAGACCAAGCTGGGCCAAGTCCTGTGTGTGTGGGGTGGGGGATGGCAGCAGGACTGAGACATGGCCCGCCTGGGGGTCTCGTCTGAATGGGAACCCTGCTGGGCTGCACCACAGGGAGTAAGGAGGCCAGCTGGGGGCTTCCTGGAGGAGGCAGGTGGAGTGCCACAGGCAGCCCAGGACATGAGGACACGGGGTACAGTTGGTTGTGGCTCCAGTGACCCCAGGCTGTCACCACTGACTAGTCTCCAGCTCCTGAGTGCCGAGGATCGCCAGCCGGCCAGCAGCCCAGGTGTAAAGCTGGCTGGCTGGGCTTGAGCTGCTGATTCATGGCGGCTGGCTGGGCACAGAGGGCGGTGCAGGGGCCCTGGGGTCCTGTAACTCCACTGCCTCTCAGACCTGGGTCACTGTGCTGGGGTGGGGGGGACGAATGTGGGAGGGGGCTGGGGGCTCTATCCTTCACAAGTGGCTGGTCCAGAATGGGAGTGTGGCCTGGTTTATGAAAGGATGGTGCCCCCACCGAGGGGTAGGGAGGCGCTGAGAGCTGGGGTAGGGCCCTGCTTCACCCCTGGGGTCAGGCACCCCTTCCCCAGCCAGTCGAGAGGCTGGAGCAGGGCTCTGAAGGACAAACCCGGGAGGAAGCTGTGTGTGTGGGGAGCGGGCAGAGGAACTTGCAAGTGCTTGGAGCAGGCTCCCACCTGCCAAGTGAGGGGGAGCAGAGAGCTTAGGTAGTGCACAGGCCCTCCCTCTCTGGCTCCAAGGTTTGGGAGGCCTGGGGTCAGTGGTCACCGGGAGGGGTGTTGGACATGCAGCTTAAGTTTGGAAGGCAGAACCAACTACCCGCATTGGGAAAGGGGCACCCACACTAGGGGATGGGCAGATCAGCACAGGGAAGGGGGCGTCCTGGGGGTGGACACTTGACTTGGGGAACACAGCAATCAGCTCAGAGGCCTCAGGGGTGGGGGACCGGTTGGGGATAGAAGTCCTGGGGGCTCAGCGTCCTGGGAACACCGTTAGTAACACAGGAGCCCCGCGGGGCCCCTGCTAAGACACCCACTCGCAGGCGGGGGAGTTCAGCCTGAGTGCGGAGGCAGGCTGGTCTCAGGCGCAGCGTCCGGTTCCAGGTTGGGCTGAGCTGCGGGCAGCGCTCCCCCACACCCCCTCCCTCCTTCCCGGCGGCCGCCGCCTCGGGTTTCCGGAGGGGCTGGAGAGCGGGCGGGGGCATCACGTGCGCGCGGCCCTGGGGCCGGTTGGTCCGCAGGCAGGGGAGGAACCGGGCACTCCCCAGGCCAGGCTGGGATCGGGCTGGGGTCGGCGGCTCACGGAAGTCGGAGGAAAGAACCCGGAGCGGAGTAAACGCGCGGTGGCCCGGGGCGCTTGCCCAGGGAGTCCCGCCGATCCCGGGCCCGGTGCTCGGGAGCGGCGCCCGAGGGGTCTGCGGCGGGGGCGGCGCCCGGTCCGGCCATGAGCTCTCCGCCGCCCACCCGCAGGGGCTTTTACAGCCAGGAGGTGACCAAGACTACCTGGGAGGTGCGCGTGGTGTACCAGGACCTGCAGCCCGTGGGCTCGGGCGCCTATGGCGCCGTCTGGTGAGCGCAGGCCGGGCGGGGTGGCCGGCCGTGCGGCCGGCCAGTTGGCGGGTGTCCGGGCGGGTTGGCCCGGCCCTCCCGCTAAGCCGTGCGCCCCGCAGCTCGGCCGTGGACAGCCGCACAGGCGCCAAAGTGGCCATCAAGAAGCTGTACCGGCCCTTCCAGTCGGAGCTGTTCGCCAAGCGCGCCTACAGGGAGCTGCGTCTCCTCAAGCACATGCGCCACGAGAACGTGAGTTGCGCTGGGCCTCGGCTCTGGACACCCGTCCGTCGCCTCTGTTCGCCTTCCTGCCGCAAAACACCGGGTCCCACCTACCCAGCCTCCCTGTGTGGTGAGGCCTAGGTGGGGGTCTAGGAAAGGGTGGCGGCTCCAGGTGGTGAGGGCGGAGCCCACCTCCTTTGGGCAAGGAGGCTTCCCTGGGATCTAGTCCTCTCTTGGGAAGTTCTTAGAGCCTCGACTTGTTCCTGGGGCCACATCTGTCTTGGCAGCCCAGGCCCTGGCGAGGGGATGGACGCTTGCGCAGGCTGAGACCATTGCCTGGATTCTCACCCCAAATTCTGTGGAGCTATTTTGCTGGAAGGGACGCTTCGCCTCTTTCCTCGTTTCGGCACCTCCGCAGCCCCACCCCAGGTGCTCTCCTGAACTCACTGTGCTCCAGTCCACCTCCTGAGCAGCAGCCCCAGGACCTGGGGACCCTGGGAATGCAGAGCTAGGCATGGAATTGGAGTCAGCATCCTGGCTCTGTCACCTCAGAGCCTTGGGGTCTCTGCTGGTGGAGGGCACTGGGCACAGTGGCCAGCATGCAGATGCTTTCTTCACAGCTCTGGCTGGGGTTTGTGGACAGTGTGAAGGGATGGACCTGGGCCCCCGCCAGGGAAAGCCTTCTCCCCCCATGCTTCCAGACCTGCCTATGGGACACCACCCATGGCTGCCATGGGCCTCTCTGGCGGCCACTGCTGGCTGCTAAGAGTGCTCCTCTCTGCCGTGGGGTTTCTCCTTGCTTTACACAGTTACCTTTGCAGCTGAGAGCTCTGCCTGTTGCCCACCCCAAGCCACTCCTGCCTCACGCCCAGTCTGAGGGCTGGTGGTCTGGGCACGCAGACTCTGGTTAATTACGCTCCCAACAGATGGTCTGGCCCCTCCTGGGTCATTGGAGCCACCAGCCTCCCCTCAGGAAAAGGAGTCCCCAGGAAACTTGTCCCCTGGGTTTCTGGCGGATGTCTACCCTCTTAGCCCCTCGGGTGGGCCCTTCCTTCTCCCAGGCGTCCCATCTCCACCGTTGGCTCTTCCCAGGTGAAATCCACTCGTGGTGGACACCAGCCCAGCCTGGGCCTTGTCCCATGAAGGCGGGCTCCCCCACCCAGGCTTCATTTGGCTTTGCCCTCGCCACCCCGCCCCCACTCCCACCCACCCATCCTGCCCATCCAAAGGGCTCTGGGCTTTGTGTTCAGTCGCTTGTGCTGGGGCCGCCCCCATTGTGCCAAGGGTCTTACCATCCCCGTGGCGCTCCTGACCCACCCGAGCTGGGCACTGCTGCCTCCTGGGCACCCTGCACACAAACTGGGAGGCGTGGCTTATCGTGAGCCCGTTTTCCTGAGGCTCTGAGAGGCTGAATGCAGCGGTGGTGGGGACTCACATCCCATTCCTGCCCCCACCCCCACTCCGGCCGCCATCCCCATCTCAGAGGCACGGAAGTCCCTATTGACCTGATGGCCCCTTAACCTCAGGGACTCTGTCCTCTTCTTGCTCAAATACTCTCCCAGTGCCCCAGGCCTCACCTCTCTGGATGTTTTGCTCTGTTCCCTGCGCCCCGCCTGCCCATGGCTCTGGCCCTGGTGGCTGCAGTGGTCATCCAGCTGTACCTTCACCTCATGTCCACTCTCGCCTCGCGCGGGTCTGTCCCCACATTCGGCATAATGCCTGTTTAAACCCTTTCTTGGCAGCTGTAGGCCCAAACCCAAACCTTCACCTGGCATACGAGGGCCTCCCTTTGACCTCTGCGTAGTGACTCCCTGGCCTGGACCTCGGCCACCTGGCCTTCCTCACCATGTTCCTCAAATGCCCCAAGTGTTCCCCGTCCTGCCTCCACCACCATTCGCATGGCCTCTGCCAGGTGTCCCTGCCACCCATGACTCACCGGCCTGCCCCTCTAGCTGCTCGGATATGCAGGCCTCCCTGGAGAGCCCTGGGAACCAGTTGTCACATTACCTGTCTGGTGTCCCTCACTCCTGACCAGGGGTCTGCAGGACCAGGTATGACTGTTGGTTTGGTCATAGTGCTGCCTGCCTGGGCCTCTCCAGCAGCGGCACAGCCCTGGGAAGTACCTGCCGGATGTTGTCTCTCCCCCGGGAGGCTGTCCCCATCCTGGTCCTAGGTCTTCAATGGGGACAGGAAGAAGGGGAGAAAGGGCCAAGGAACTGGAGCTCCTTGGATGTCTGGGGGCTGACCCAGACTAGGGGCTGCCCCTCCCCCAGAGGATCCCGGCTGTCACCATCCAAAAATAGCCTGCGCCTGTGGGCAGGTGTGCCAGGGCTGGGTCAGTGCTGCCAGTAGGTAGAGCCAGGCCCTGTGGACAGTGGGGAGAGATGGAGACAGCTGCAGGGGACTTTCCTGCCCAGAGCACAATGCCAGACTCAGTGGTGTGCCCAAGCCCCCACGCTCTGCTGTGCCCCATCCCACCTGGTACTCTGGCCTCCTCCCCAGGTGATCGGGCTGCTGGATGTGTTTACTCCCGATGAGACCCTGGATGATTTCACAGACTTGTGAGTACTAGCCTGGGGCTGGCGGGGCAGGGCGAAGGGCGTTGGGTGGCTCCTGGGCACCAACTTTGGGTTTTGGGTTGGCCTGGGGGCCTGCTCAAGGCAGGCCTCTCCCTGCAGCCTGGTTGAGGGTTGGCATGCACACTGCCCACCCACTCCCCACACCGCAGTCCACTCCCTTGCCATGTGCCCCTGAGACCCCTGACACTGGCACAGCCGGGTGGAACCTGGGCCTGCTCCCCCTGTCATGCCTGGCACCAGGCCCTCTCCCTGCTGGAAGCTTGGACCTGAGCATTTGTTAGCTGGCAGGTCCTGGGCTCTGGGACCCCGGCACTAAGTATGTGGCCGTAACTGGAGCTGCTGACCTTTGCTGGCGGGCAGGGGAGGGCGGCAGGGTGCCTGCCCTGTGACTGCCTGGGTGGCCACCCTGGACTCACACTGTTGTTGGCCAAGACCCAGGGGCCTGGCCTGGGAGGGGCTGGGAAGACCAGCTCCTCACTGCCTGACCTTGCAGAGGCCAAGGACCCACACAGCGTCCAGGCCGTGCTAAGTGTCTCTCTCTCTCCCCCTACCCAGCCTGCTCCTTAGACACAAATGTCCTGCTGTCTCACCCCTACCTGCAAGCACTCCCCTCTTTTCTCTTGCACCCTCCCCAGCTGAGAAAGGGGGGATGGGTGGCGTGGTGTGGGTGGTTAGAGGTGAATGGACCTGGTGCATGAAGACTGAGGGTCTGAGCCTGGCCTTGTGGGCGTGTCCCCACCCACGGCACCCTGCCCACCGGGCTGCTACAGTGGGCGTGGCCCCACTGTCTGCAGCCTGCACGCCCGGCTCCCACAGCTACCTGGTCATGCCTTTCATGGGCACCGACCTGGGCAAGCTCATGAAGCACGAGAAGCTGAGTGAGGACCGAATCCAGTTCCTCGTCTACCAGATGCTGAAGGGGCTGAAGGTGAGGCTGTGCAGGGGGGCTGCAGGAGGGGACAGGACTGCTGAGGGCCAGGTGACCTGACACTGCTGACCTTCTCTGCCCCCACAGTACATCCACGCTGCTGGCATCATCCACAGGGTGAGTCCTGGGGTGGGGCCTCCCCTGGCTGTGTGGGCGTTCCAGGGTCTCCCCTCGCAGGAGCCTCTGCTTCCCGCCTGTAAGGGGACGCGATGGGGTCCAGTGGGATGTGCACATGGTGCCTGCACACAGCCCTGGGGGCCCAGGCACCTCCACCCTTCCCAGAGGTTGCAGGGGCCGCTGCTCCTGGGCTCAGCCACTGCCTGGGCTCCTGCTGGTGGGTCACACAGCTCTCTTTCCTCTGCCCCCAGGACCTGAAGCCTGGCAACCTGGCCGTCAATGAGGACTGCGAGCTGAAGGTGTGTGTCGGGTGAAGGGCTCGGGGCTCCCTCCTCACCTGCCCATCTGCCTGCTGCGGCCTCGGTCGTCAGACCTGGTGGAGGGCCGGCCCGGGCCCAGGCAGAAGGACCAGCCATCCAGGCATGGCTGAACCCCTGATGGGCACAAGCACCCTAGGGAGGCTGCTTGACTGGGGTGGCATCGGGCACACTCACTGCCATCCCTCCTTGAGGTGAGGGGTGGGAGGCGTCCCTCAGTCCCTCATGCCTGAGCCAGGGCAGGGCTAAAAAGCCCTTTTCAAAGATGGAGGTCAGCAGGAGGTAGAGGACAGGCAGAGGAGACCCTCTGGGGTGCCTGCACCTGCAAGTGGGTGGAGGCAAGTCCTGTTGGGTTGGGTGCAGCGGCCGTGTGGAGGAACCCACGGGGAGGCTGCAGGGCCGTGGCTGGGACCTCAGGCCCTTTTGGGTTGGCAGGAGCCCCAGGGTGCCCATTTCCCTTGGGGTCTGCTGCACCACAGGCTGGTCCACCCACTCCCGGGGGCACCTTTGCCCCACCTTCCTCATTCTGGCTTCAGATCCTGGACTTCGGCCTGGCCCGGCAGGCAGACAGCGAGATGACTGGATATGTGATGACCCGGTGGTACCGGGCTCCTGAGGTCATCTTGAATTGGATGCACTACACACAGACTGGTGAGAGGCTGCCCAGATGGGTCTCCACCTGGGCCAGCCTCCCACGCTGGACCCGCCCTTTTCCTGTTTCCCTATGGGAAGCCCACGTTGGCTGCTTCGCTGGAGGCTGCTGAGGTGGGGTGGAGCTGGACGAGGGTTTGGCAGGCTCGATGGTCCCTGTGCCCATGTCCCCCCTTCCCCTGGGTGTACCCCCCTGGCCCACAGAGCCCTGATTCGAGGGCTTCTGTCTCAGTGGACATCTGGTCGGCGGGCTGCATCATGGCCGAGATGATCACAGGGAAGATTCTGTTCAAGGGCAATGACCGTATCCTACACCTGTGGGGTCAGGCGGGCGTGGCTTATCCTGCACCTGTGGGGTCAGGCGGGCGTGGCTTATCCTGCACCT